GAAATTTTCTTTATAGCAAAAACAGAAATATTAGACCATCTTCATACATGCTGCTTTTTTTTATTTGCATTTGGTAATTCTTTGTATTGGAACAAACAATTGAAAGTATTCATATGCTACTTGTGTACTTGGTGATCATGAGAAGATACCAAAGTGAATTAATCAACTCTCAGTACGGGTGCCATCCTGAAACTAACTGTGGAATAAGTAATAACAACTATTTTTTTCTTTTCGTTGCAATTCTTTTGCTGATATTTTCAGACATTGAAACTTATAGAGGAAAGAAAAATGATGACAAGAAATATCATAAACAAAATAAAGGGGCCGAAATTCTCAACCAAATTTTCGATTATCTTTTTTCATAAATTTTTTTCTTTAAAGAGTTCATAATTTCCAAGCCAAGATCATATATAGTGGTGGGTCCCGACGGGTTCATTAAATATATTTCCTAGTATAATTGATAATCAAGACTAAAAAGACATCCGATCTACTTAAGCATGTGCAATTTTAATCTTCCAAGCTAATCTCCTTCAAAGATGAGTAAAAAAATCAATGCACTAGCTACATAATAATGTCTTTATTTCAAAGAATATTAAAAAAACATATAGACTTTGATGGACTTTGTTGTTTCTTGAAAGTTTGGTGAAAGAGTCCCTTTTTTTGTTAACAGAAATTTACATTAAATCTATTTGATGAAAATGATACTTAAGAATTCCGATGAATTCTTTAATTCTCAAAAGAACAAAAGAAAATCTATATATCATACCTTACTCTGTCGGCAACATCAACAATCGGTTTCGTGTGATTAGACGGAACAAATGATATATGAAGCCATTGAATTTGATATGTATATTCTTGAGGACCGACACTAACACGGAATACGGGATATGACATGACACGTTAATTTTAAAAAATAATATATTTTGACACGTTGTGATACGTTTTGATATTAAATAATATTTTTAATATATATAATATGATTTATATTTAATACATATAACAATTCATAATAAGTCATATAACCAATCAAATATTCAAATTTCATAACATAAATAAAAAAATAAAAAATAAGATTATACCTTGTTAATTTTTAATGTCAAATTTAATAACAGAAAAAAATTGATTTATAAATGATTTTTTTTATTTTTAGTTAATAAAATAAAATTAAGACTTTAAAAAAAACGTGTCGGAGCATGTCGGAAAGTTGACCATGTGTTCTAAAATGTTGACCGCGTGTCGAAATGTGTCGGAGTGTGTCCGTGTCAAACATGCATCTTTTTTGAAAAATGTTGTGTCTGGGTATCTAAGTTCTTAACAGAGTAGCCAATCCATTAGTTGAAATATATATATATATATATATATATATATATAGGGATAAACATTTTTACATCAACTTTAGATAAGGTTATTTACAACTACCCAAAACTTTAGATAAGGTTATTTACCACTACTTGAAAATTACGTCGTTTTGATTAATGAAGGGTGTTTCTGTAGTTTTAGGTGAATTAGTGAAGGGTGATTTCGTAATTTTGTTTTTTTTTATCATATACATCTTACTGAAACATCCTTCATTAATCAAAACGACGTAGTTTTGGAATAGCTGTAGATAACCTTATCTAAAGTAACTGTAGAAATATTTTTTCCATATATATATGTATATCACTCTGAAAGAAAAAAAAAGGCGTTTGGTAGAGGAGAAAAAAAAACTTATCCAGGAATCTCAATTTTCAGAAATATGATAAAAATATTCAATTTACGATAATATCCAAAAATTAAAAATTTTAAAAAATTCAGTTTCCCGAAAATCCTAGTAAGAAAAAGATTATGACAGGAGTGATTTATGTTTCAATGGATTAACACTGTAAAAAAATTGAAGGACAACTAAAGATTCAGAGACTTTAGTATTTTAGGCTCTGTTTGATTTCTATTTCATAAAACAGTTTTCTTGTTTTAAAAATAGAAAAACAAAAAATCTTGTTCGCTAATTAGTGTTTTGTAAAAGTAATTCTGGTTTTTAGTTTTTAAAACTAAATTTACAGAACACATTTATCATGTTTTGATTTTGTGTTTCCATTTTTTACTCCCGAAACAACAAAAACAAGGAGAACAAGAGCTTCGTTAATGCCATAATGGTAATTGTTTGAAAATGAAAAAGCAAAAATTAACATTGTGCCACCTCATATAGATCTCAATTACAAGCTCCGGTAACCACACGATGTGTTCCTTTGGTTTTTGGTCTACGATGTGTTTGATAATTTTTTCTATTTTTCTGCTTTAAAACCACATTCTGGAAACAAATTTATCAACCAAGTTTTTTTGTTTTTTAACTTTTAAAATTATTTTCAAAAGAATAAATGGATCTTTTTCATCTTTTATTCTACAAAACAGTTTCTAAAAGTTACTTTACAAAATAATTTTAATAATAAAAAATCCATAACACAATCAAACAGCCCTTAGTCTTTAATTCCTTAAATAATTTTAGAACATACAATTAACCCAAAAATCAACATGTACAATTAAAATTTTTAACACAGTTTATATTTAGACTAATAAAGTCGAAATTTTAATTTTTTAGAAAATTGACTGATTTTTTATAACAGGTCCAATTCTCAAAATTTAAGTGAATGAACCACTTTGGCGATTTTCTAGACTGGGAAGAAGACCACCGGACAGTTCAATAAAGAAATGAATACCAAATCGAGACGCCTTAGTTACATTATTCACAGAATAAGGCAAATTTAGTATTCAAAAAAAAAAAAAGAGTCAAATTTGCCACTATCACATACACCAACAAACTATGTCCGATTAATATTAAGATAACAAAAATTCACATTCCTGCAAGGTGTTAATGTTTTACGAGAATCAAAGAAGTAATGAATTAGCTGATTTGATTAACAATTTTCCCCCAAACACGATCTGCACAATTCCCAGGTCACATAAGAATGACCTCTGATCTTTAATTCGCTTAATTCTCCCATGTATAACACTTCTACTTATACCAGCCGTATTACACAAGGAGCAGAAAGATAATAGTAAAATCGAGCCTTACCACAAAAAGCCATAGATTAATTAATGTTATCTTCTTTACTTTCACATTGGTCCAAAGGGAGTGATCTAATTCTACAACTTGTATGTAACTCTCAATGATACCGTGAAAGTTATTTCAAAGTCAATATAAAAGTATAAAACATCATTAGACTTATCAAAGTTACAAATTTACAATCATGTAAGAGTGGCAGAATTTGAAGACGGGCAAAGACATGTAGCAAACCTGCTCAGCACTTAATCCAAGAAATCTGAATTTCAAATCTTAACAAGGAGAGAGATAAAAGGGGGGGTTTCAAAAAAACTAAGCACTCTAATAATTATAGAAGAGGATTCCTCGTGTGCGCATTACCCACTACTAGATTGGGCTGATATAGTTAGCAAATCTCCCTGTAATCAAAGAGAAACAAAAATGTCACATGCTCAACAATCCCTAAATTCTGAGGACACAAGCTAATCCATGGACCTAAAGATTTAATCTACACTTAAATTCCTAACCTCAGCAAGGTAATCTCCCATTAGTTCTGTTAAGAATATTATTGCGCATTGGGTGGGTGAGGATCTTTTTAATGAGTTATATTATTCTTTAACACACACCCTCACACAAGAGCCCTTTGGGCGAGGTGTGGATATTGCACAGGCCCAAATTTTTTATTTACGTTTTTCTGCTTTTTTTTATTTAATTCCACAAGTGGGGGATCCAACTCGTGAGTTTATGATCACTAAAATTCGGATACCATATTAAGAATCACTTCGACCCAAAATCCACAAGTGTGAACGTCTTTTTTAATGATTTATATTATTCAAAAAAACAATGGGGATTCAAATATTGTATTCTTACATTCTCCAAACATAAACATCGCGCAATAAGCCCTCTGTTTAATTACTCAAGCTTATGGACAACAACATAATAAAAAGGAAAACATCATCGTCATAATTCATCAGTTTAATATTATTGTACAGCTAAAAATTAAATATTAGTATTACTATACCACTTGAGAGTGTTCAAGGCTGTTATCAATAATCAAGAGAGAAAGATAAAAGAGAGAGAGTGTGAGAGAGACCTTGGGTGGAGGTGCTGGAATCGCTGGGAAGCTTGGAAACAAGGTAAGCGGATGCAATCGCTGTATGCAAGGGTTTGAAGGAGCTCAATTCTCTTCGGAACAATCTCGGCGTAGCAATAGGGTTCTGGCGAGGAGTGAAATTCGAAGCACGCAAAGAGAAAGAGGGTCTCCTTGCAATCGAAGCTCTGCATAGTGTGCGCACCATTGTGAATCTTCCTGCCATTGTCATTCAACCTTGTGTTGGAGCTTCAACCGATTCGAACCCTAAAACCCTCTGCAAAACCCGCGCCACTCCAACACTCACTGAAGTCTGAACCTCTCCTCGAAATGGGCCCAGCCCGGCCCGTGTGACAAGCCCGCAACTTATTAATACAAAATTATATATTTGTAGGATTCGCTTTTTCTGCGCAGATAAGTTATCTGCAGTAAGCTCAATACGACGTCGTTTTGGGATTGAGAATAAATGCAGTAACCGCAAAAATATTTTTCCAATATTTTTATATATAAAAAGTTATATTTACAAAAAAAAAATTTACAAACTCAATTATATATTCCAGAAAATAGACTCCATTAGAAATGCATTCTGGCCCTAGGAATACATAATATAATTTGTAGACAAAAAAATTATAAATATAATGTACATTTTTTACATTATCAAATAATTTTAGCCATAAAATAAGTTTTTTTCCTAAAATTGTCTTTTTAACTTTATTTTTTTCAATTTTCATTTGCGCAGAAAGCTTTTACATATACAATGATTTGTTTCACACAAACTTCTTTTAAAATGAAAATGAAATAAGAAATAAAAAAATAAAAAAAAGGAATGCATATCCCTAGTATGCTTTTTACTACCGTCATAGAGCAATATATTAGACCAAGAAGCTCAGCATTTTCCAATCATAAAATGATCACATTCTCAAGTTTTTTGGTTGTACAACAATCACCTCACAGAATATGCCACGTCCAAGGAGAATGAGATGACACAACAAACGTTTACCCAAAAAATTTGTTTGAAAATCACATCGTTCACGTTGATGATCACAAGGCAACTGGTAATTTGGACCTTACAGGTAATTAATCTAGCAACAAATATTATAAACCGGCAAAAAAAAATAAAGTGCAGCGTTGATAGATTAATCACTCTTCCATGCGAGGATTCTCCTCTGATTGCTTTTGGGAAACCTTGACTTTGATCTTTGGTAAAGTGAGAGATGAATCCTGTTGAAGCACAGAAGGAGCTTTGACCATACTGATACCCTGTTCCAACTCCCTCGCTGCCTCCCTCTGCAGCTTTTCCTTTTTGCCTTTCATCCTATTAAAGGTTTAACAAAATGTCACCAGAAAGCCAAAAGAAAAAACACCATGTAAAGCATTCCAATATATATACAAGGGTGGAGTCAAAGAATGACCTATTCTTATGGTGTTTCTCCTCCCTGCTGACTCTGATCTTATCAATCTTAGGAATGGCCTTGAGGACATTCTCCGCAAGATTCCTGTCATATCTTTCGGGCCTGTTTCGCTTTCTCTCAAACTCAAAGGTTGAATCCTAAAACAAAATATAATAGTTTTGAAGATTGTCCAAACCAAGACAATTAAATTTAATAGATATCTAATACCAAGATAATTACCTGTGTCATATCCTTTCCATGCACTCGCCGATATGCCTTGGTCCATTTTACTTTACGAGGATTCCTCTTCATTTTAAAGTTCTTGTGGCATTTAGATCTACAAAACCGAAAAATCTGCACAAATTGGTTGTCAGGAATCTGAGCTACAAAGGCCATGTAATGTGGAGCCTCACTTTCATAAAACATTTAATCTCATCTGATCCAACAAGAGAAATCAATTACATAATAATTCTCTAGAAGCATTTACAGAAATGGATAACCACGGATGGGAGACAAATTTCTGGGGACACGGTAGTGAATTTATTTATTCATTTATTTAATATTTATTCTTAGATAAAAGAGGAAATTCATTAAGATTACGTGAAGTGATTACAAAGAGTTAGGAGGAAAAAAGGAATGAATTTCATTTTACCTTAGCATCATTCCGAACGAACTGGATTCCATGTCCAGGGTATACGGTTGAAGAACAAAACCAGCATTTCTCCAATCTCATTGTGCCTCCAGACTAGAACAGTACTTCACTAGAAGAAAATGGTGCAAAAAAGAAAACAATAATCAGGTACAAAAAATTATTGCACAAGCCCCCCCAGACGATATACTAAGAGACACGTACGGTTAGCACCTACTTATATCATCAAAGTATGCAAGCAGAAATCTTATCAGTAAAATAAAATAAGGAATCAATAAAATATCAAACAATGCAATAGAGTCAACAGGTATTAAACCATTATCATGTGCAATAGAAATCAATAAGTGAACAAATAACATCCATTCCAACCTATCCTTCAAATAGGAAAACACTGCAAAAAACTAGAAAACTATGCTTAAAAGAACTCCAAAAAAGTTACAGAAAATTAACGAAAATCCCATATGATTAAATAAAAACAAAAAGTCATGTTTAAATTAATTACGAAAAACTTATTAAGATTGAATAAAACCAACATACTATATCAGCCATGCAGTCTTAAAAATTATAGTAAGCATACTTGATGCAATCCTTAAGTACTGATTGGAGACAAAAAAATAATAATTGCCATCTGCTAAATAATATAACTCTTATTTTGGTTGTGACTCCAACACTTCAATTATTTGAACTGTTGCTCAATCACACACTGTAATCATGAAAGGTTTGTACTTAAAATCTAATATCATATGTCAATTACTATGAAGCAATGGTAAATGCACATCTTTTTTGCTCCCTTTGATCTATGGAAATGTATATACTGTCTCTGATACTCTCTGCCTCAGCACCTTAATAAAAAAATCATATAGCCCAACATCAACATCAACAACACCTTTATCCCAAACTAGTTGGATCGGTTTCCAATGAACCCAAATGAAAAGCAAGAAAATATTAAAAAAAATTATATATCCCAAATGCCACCAAATTTTCTGAGCTGAAAATAAAGGAAAAAATAGAGACTAAGGTGTCCATCTTGATGAAGCTTCTACTGCTACAATGATGGAACGTCCACCCATACCATCTAACTCTTCGGATCATTGTTATTCCTTCTAAGAGAATATTAAAGGCAGTATCTTCATTACTGGATTTGATTCCTATAAAGTGAAGGGTGTACTTTAGAGGGAAAAGTACTGAGGAGTTATAACCCAAAATTGAAAAATCAACTGTTTAAGATTGTGAATTTGTGATAACATACATGGACATATATAACAAACCATAAAGTTGTTAAAAATCAACAGTTATAACTCTGCACTTTTCTCTCTAAAGTGCACCCCTCACCCTAGAGGGGCTAAATTCCTGCATTAGTATGATTCTACTATTATCTATCCTACTTAGCATCTTCTCAACTTCAATTATAACATTTTAAAAAATGTTTATGTATATAATGATTCGGCCATCTAAGGAAACCAATATAACATTCCACATATTTAAATTTCCAAACTCCACCTAAGTTAGCCACACAATCCAACTAACTATAATTTTGAGGCCAAGGCACCAACCACAGTGGTGTTATCATAATTTTTTTCCTTTCCTTAGTTTCTTTTCTTTTTTCTAATACTATCGTTTGAGCCATGGAAACACCTCCTTCGCCAAACACAAACACTGGGTTTAAAATAACTTGACCCAATTAGAATTAAAATATCAACGTTTTTAGAACTTTGCACTTACATCACTGATGCTGTTTGAACTCTTATTCCGCCCACGCCACGCCTTGTGCCAACAACTCCCGGTGGCGGTGGGTTTAGAAGATTCAGAAACGTATGCGGAAGAGAAAAACCCTAAATCAAAAACCCCTTTAATTTTGTTTTATTAATTTTTGATGGGTTTCGGGTTAACCCGTTCAGCTAAATTAACCCGAATATATCTCACAGGTCTGATTTAATAACCGAACCGAGAAACCGTACCTTCTTTCTTTTTCTAGCAACTGGGCATTCCCAAACCCACTCAAACGAAACTTATATATTAAAAAAAGGGAAAATTGTTTGTGATTTTAAATGACAGAAAGTTATGTTATTTTAAAAAAGATATAGACACAGAAAATTTGAATTTTAAATTAAAAAAAAACTACCACTTTCTTTCTCTCATGATTTCTATTTTTTTTTGTATCTATCTCTCTCCTAAAATGATATAACTTATGTCATTTAAAATGACAAACACCAAACCCTTAAAAAAATTCAAAGCATCCAAGGGGCCGAACTATTATAGATGGGCTTAGTCCAACTTCCATGTGAGTATGCAATAAAATTTCACAAGTTGACAATGGCCCATAAGGAAATAAAATTGAATAAACAGACAGGACATGGCCAGTAATAATAAGACCACAAATTTTCATGAAAAGATAGAAAAGAAAATAACATAGCAATATGATTTTCTTTCTAAGAAAATTCAATGAAAGGCTATACAACGTATATTTTTTTGTCCCATTTTTTAAGTATTTCTTAAGGATTGAAGTGGTTACAGAAATGGTTACCCTTATTGTTGTTATTTATATTTATAGATCTAATTCAAAATAGATATTAGATAAATTATTTTTACACGTTATCTTGTACACATTAATTAATTGTATAAAGTTTAATATGAAATGTAGTCCTGTGCCTAACGTGGACGCCATAACTTAGCACATTGTTCCATTTCAATTTTGATATTCATAAACCAAAATTTACAAATCATTTTTATATGAATTAATGATATATGAATTTTGAGTTAACAATTTATATTGTTTGATTGATGGAAATTAATTACTATCCCGTTAACCATGTACATTGTTCATTATAGTTTTTTATGTTATTAACAAATATAAAACTAATGTAAGCAAAATGGTACTAACATTCATTTTATATTCCATTTTTACCTAAAACACCGTCAATCCTTCTTCTTTTTTTTAATTAACAGCAGAAGATGAGATAAAGGTCGAATCATAATGAATCAAGGAATTTTTGAGTTTGTCGGTCTAAATTACCAGAATTTGGATTCTCTTGTATAAAAAAGTGGTAATATAATCATATATTAATTACAATCATTTATTTAAAAGTTATATATATTTTTTATCTTATTATCAATAAAAAATTATGATCAAATAACATTACCATTTTTTGTATCAGGGGATTCAAATCCAAATTACCTAATGCTTACAAATTTGGTGGGTCAACTAATTTGTCAATTCAGTTTAAATTATTGAAATAAAAAATAATAATATATTCTTGAGTAATATATAGCTTACAGAATAAAATAAATAAATATAAATAAATCTATTAAACTCAACTAATTCAACTACGGGCTCAACTAAGTTCAGTTAAAAAAATTACACTTTATTTTTGTGAATCAGCTAATACATTTTATCAAACTTTAAATAAATCTAATAAACTCGACCTAATTTAAGAATTTGTAGTTTGCAAAAAGGGTTCATTTGTTTTGCAGCAAGACAGAAATCATAGTATTTTTATTATTTTAATTTATTTCATGATTATTATAATTTTTATAATTATAATATTTTAATCTTAAAATGACATTATTTTAAAAATAAATACAGATAATTTATCTCTAATAACTACAGAAATATTTTTTTAAGCCAGAAAGTCAGTTACATTGAATACCTGAAAATATTTGTTGTCAGATTCGCACAACCTTATATTGAGATTAGTTGGAATTAAATAAATGGTCTATTTTACTAATTAAAGAAAAAAAAACATAAAAGGTCAAAAAAAATTATTTAAAGAATTGAAATTTTGTTTGATATGACAATATGACATTTTCTTTATTTTTTTAAATATAAACTTAGAAAATAACTTGTTTTATAAGTAATCATGGTTCCGATTTCCAGACCCGTCCAACGAGCACAGCGTAAACAAGAAACGAGAATGTGCTACAGAGAGAGGAGCGGGTTTGGGTTGGGTCATTGTCAGACAGAGTTAGACCAACTCACAACATAACTCCGTCGCTTTCATCCTCAAACGGCTAGTTGGCGTTTGGGTATTATACACTGTGCAAACAAACACGCTCTTCGAACCTTCCAAAATTAGCCGTTGCCTTCTACTATAGGAGTCTTTGCACCATTCCTCCAGCTAGCATTTTGTATTTTCCATCTTACTTTTCTTTCCTCACTTGTCTCTATTTTATTATTTTTTTAATGATTATGGTTCATGATAAGTGGTAACCTGTGAAATGAGGCCCACCATGACTTCATTTTGTATATGTCTCACTCTCACTTGTGACATGCTTGCCCATCATTTTTAGAAATTTTAAAAAAAATGGTAATAATATATATTTTTTATTAGTGAGTGGAATTTTATATTGATGTCACTAAATAACATATGCCTATTTTATTTTATTTTTTATTAATGAGCCCGACATAAATTTTATCTATATTCAGCCCAAGACAATAAATTGAGTGTTTATTTTATGATCTGAGATGGAGTATTGAAACCGATCTTCTTAGGATTCAATTCAATATGTTTTAAGTGAATCTTCTACCATGTGTTACCGTGGAAAATAGGTTGGTGATAGAATGAATCAGCTATGGGCGTTTGATCAAGGAGAAATTTTTTGAATACTAGAGAAATGTAATTAATAGGTGTTGAGATATATAGTCCCACATTGATTGGATGAGCAACTAATATGGCCTTTATAAGGCCTTGGGCACTCCCACCCTTGAGTTAGCTTTTGGGGTGGTGACCTCAAGGTTCTTAACATGGTATCAGAGCCCCACAGTCCCCCGCTTTAAAAAGTGGAATTAAAATAAAAATAAAAAAAAGCACAAAAAGGTAAACCAAAAATGGGTCTGTGCAATTTTCACGCTTCTAGCCTAAAGAGCTCTTGCGTGAGGGGACGTGTTGAGATATATAGTCCCACATTGATTGGATGGGCAACTAATATGGCCTTTATTAAGGCCTTGGACACTCCTACCCCTTGAGCTAGCTTTTGGAGTGGTGACCTCAAGGTTCTTAACAAAAATGGTTGGAAAGTGAGTTTGGTAGGAAAATGTAAAAAAAATTGTTTGGTTGAAAAAAAAAAATACTGGAAAAATTTGGTAAATAATATAAAGTTTATGTTTGGTTTGAGTTAAAATATTGATGGGAAAATGAGTTGCAATTATCAAAATAATCATATTTTTAAATTTTTTGAATCTCATCATGTGGTGTCTATGTTTGATTGTGTGAAGAGTACTCTCGTTCAGTGTCATAAATCTATCAGAAATTGTCACATCATTTTAGACTATTCAAACCTCTAGAAATTGCCTCAGTATTCATCGCACTCTGCTTCCAGTTAAGATGAAGGATGAAGGTAGCTTTATAAGAGGGTAATTTTGGTAGTTATGGTGTCAAATTTTTTTCATTTACCTAGCTTTTGTGAAATACCACTTTGAAAGTAGAATTTGAGTACCATGCATTTTATCAGATTTTCAAACAATTATCAATGACTAGGCAAATCACTTAGCTAGAAAAAGTTTTTTAATACCATGTACCAAACATAGACAATCCCAAATGCCAATCTAATATGTCTAGGTAAATTTCTAGAAAGCTGCTACCAAACACAACCCTAATGTCTTGTAGCGATACTTCCAAATAAAACAGCTCATTCAAACTCGACTTATACGTGAACAATAACACTTGAAATATAGGATGTACTGAATGACAATGTGTGCGTGTAGAAAATTATTTCCAAAATCATTAGTTTAGAATCTCAACTAATTTTTTCTTCTTCTTAATATTATGATTTAACGATACTAAAAAAGAAGAGATAAAATAGGCATAAAAAATGTAAATCTAATATTCTATCCCATATAAAAAATATAAGGTAATGATTTAAAACACTGTTGTAAAACCCGGCATGACCTGGCCGGGTCGACCCGGAACCCGGTGAACCGGTCATCAGACCGGTTCGGGTTAAGCATTGGACCGGTCATGAATCGATCCGGCCAAACCCGGTGACCCGGTCGGATCATGCATTTAAAAAAAAAACCAAAATTATTTCATCTTATAAAAAAAATATATAACTCATTCTAAAAACTTTTTGTATTTTTATTTGTTAGTATACTCTTCTACAATGACCTCTTAGTTTCCAATACTGAAGCAATTTGTGGAATAATAAATTAGAGAATGTTACATATGTCATTTTATTGTAGTTAAATTTGAAAAATATGAGTTCAATGTCATTCAGAAGTATGTTTATGAGAATTCTGAGTTGCAATTTAAATTGACATAGTAATAGCATGCACTTTTATTTATTTATGCTTCATGATTTTTAACTTATTTAGTGAACCTTGTTTAATTCAGTTTAGATATGAAGAATATAATTGAATTTATATGTTCATATTTATATATATTTTTTTATATATCTATACTTATCCGGGCCAACCAGTGAACCACCGATTCGACCAGTGACCCAGTACCCCGACTGGATCGATGCACGGGTCGGGTTTAACAACACTGATTTAAAAGACCGCAACAAAATATCTTTTTTCAAATTTCTTATTTATAATTATAATTAATGTAAAATTAATTCTAATAGCACTCGCTTAGCAACTAGATAGTAATTTTTCGAACCTTATGTCAAATTTAGTTCAGTCAAATATATCTAAACACAGTCACAATTGTTCTTAGCAGTGACTAGGACGAAATCTTTGTGGTCTTAAGCCCAAATGGCAATATATAATACCTCTGGAATAATAATGCTGCCACCAACGATAGCTGGTCTTTGACTCCTTGTTATGAAGTTTACAAATTCCTCATGATCATCAGCATGCAATTAACGAATTTAGATATCATCGTGGGATTGAATCCTCCCAAAAT